CTGAACTCAGGAGCCGGGCCCGTCAGCAGCCCTGGGAGGGGCAAACTGGGGCCAGAGATTCTTCCCACTCAGCTCCTGTTATGATAGGGAGGTAAGCGGGATCTCCTCGGAGCTGAACTGGCTCCCAGGTGACCTGCCTGGTCACGGAATGGGGGAATCGACCCCCCCCTCCCCTCTCTGTGCCGGTCTCCAGTCCCCGGTTCCTGAGCCGGGAGGGGCCGCAGTGTCCCAGGGCACTCACTGCTGATGGCAGCACAGCCCGGCCCATCGGCAGGACCTGGAAGGGCCGACCAGTCACTGGGGGCCGGGAATCCTCCCCCTCAGCTCCTGGTAACCCCACAGCCAAAGCCCTAACTAACAGGGAGGGGGGTCCTCGCTGGACAAGCAGCGGGAAAGCTTGGCCAGACAGCGCTCTCTCTCTCTCTCTCTCTCTCTCAGTGGCCAAACTATGTGTGCGTTTAGCTGGTTAGACTCCAGCCGTTACCCCAAAACACACTCTGGGCTCCCCCCCTAAGTCTTGGCTCTTGCCAACCTGCGTCAGCCTGGTCTGTGAGCTCAAAGCCCCTGCCTTGAAGAGGGGGGGGGAGCCTCTCTCCCCCGTGGTTACGTGCTAATAATAATCCTTGCAATTGATACAGTGCCTCATCTCGCTGTTGAGATGCGTCAAAGTGCTTCGCGGGAATTACTGTGAAGTGCGGTGGCTGCGTATTTGTGGGCGAAACAACGCCAACGATGTTTGGCATTTATATAGCTCCCCTCGTGCATGGTTAGCGTCCCAGAGCGCTGAAGCAATCGCGCACAGCGATGTCCCACAAAGGGTCGTGGAGCGAGCGACCAATTTTATCTGGGGGAGGTGGGGCGGAATTGTCGGCCAGGACACCAGGAGAGAGAGAGAGAGAAATCCCTCCTCTTTCCGAATAGCGCCTCGGGATCTTTAACGTCCACTGTTAAACGTTGGGACACGCTGCCCTGGGGGAAGGGCCCTTCGCAAATGCAAGCTGTTGTTGTTGTTGTTGACACTCTTAACCCCAATTCGTTGAAGTGTGTAATTAAGGAATCAAGATAGAGAGAGAGAGATACACACGGAAGAAATGGGAAGCACAGGCTACTTGTCTCTGTCTCTCTCTCTCTCTCCAGAAAGGTCTCATTTACATGATTAATAATTGCCCATCATCTGCCACTGCGGACGATTTATGGTAAATGGCTGCTCGAACCCCCGGCTCATTTACACCACAAATGGCCGGCTGGATTGCTGTGGCAATGGTCCAACCGCAGGCCGTGTAGGCTTGGCAAGCCGTGAGATTTTAGCTGGTTAAAACCCCCTGGTTACTCACCCCCATCCCGCCCTCGCTCCCACCTCCCACTGCAACACACACTCTGGGGTCTCCACTCCCCCACCCTCCCCCAGTCTCAGCTGTTGTTAGCGCCTTGGGATGTCCTACCGTCGTGAAAGGCGCTGTACAAATGTAAATTGATGTTTATAGAATCAGAGAATTATACAGCACTGAAGGAGGCCATTCGGCCCATCGTGTCTCTGCCGGCTCTTTGAAAGAGTTGTCCAAATGAATCCCATCACCCCGCTCTCTCCCCATAGCCCTACAAACGTGCACACCCCAAATATCTATCCAGTCTATGTTGCTGTTGTTCTTGCCAACCTGTGCCTTACACTTTCCAAAATCATTTAAGCACTGTGTCACTCTGGAGAGAGAAAGTGAGAGGGAGAGATAAGGGGAGAGGGAGAGCGAGAAAGATGGAAATGGAAACGTTATACATGGGTTTCCGTGTGGGTCAGACACCCGGCCGGTCACGGTGACGGGTTTCCGTGTGTGTGTCAGACACCCGGCCGGTCACGGTGACGGGTTTCCGTATGTGTCAGACACCCGGCCGGTCACGGTGACGGGTTTCCGTGTGTGTCAGACACCCGGCCGGTCACGGTGACGGGTTTCCGTGTGTGTCAGACACCCGGCCGGTCACGGTGATGGGTTTCTGTGTGGGTCAGACACCCGGCCGGTCACGGTGACGGGTTTCCGTGTGTGTCAGACACCCGGCCGGTCACGGTGATGGGTTTCTGTGTGGGTCAGACACCCGGCTGACGGGTTACTGTGTGTCTCATGCGAAGGATGGCATCTCCGACACCCCCCCCACCACCACCCCAGCGCTGCATCCGAGCATCAGCTGAGACTGTGTGATTCCAAGCCCTGACAGTGGGGCCTTGAACCCACAACCTTCTGACTCAGAGGAGGCGCGAGAGAGAGAAAGCGAGTTACCACTGTGCCGGGCTGACATGTCTCCCGGCCGAGCTGTGATAAACTCAGATTGACCTTTATTGGGGGATTTATGAAAAAAATAATAATCAGGGAGGACAAGTTATGTAACTGGAAAATGAAATGATAAACTTCTCCCAAGGGCAACAAAACTGGTCAACTGTGTGTCTGACACACACACACACACAGAAACCCAGCGAAGAGTCACAATCCACAGACACGGTGGGGAGAGAGAGAGAGAGAGAGAGAGAGAGAGCAGGGAATGGGGTTAGAGTAGAGAGCTCCAGTGGGGGAGCGAGCCCCAGCACAGATACCATGGGGAGAGAGAGAGAGAGAGAGAGAGAGCAGGGAATGGGGTGAGAGTAGAGAGCTCCAATGGGGGAGCGAGCCCCAGCACAGACACCATGAGTGAATGGCCTCCTCCTGCACTGTACTCTCTGTGCTTTGACAATAAAATAGCTTTGAAGAGCTTTGAATATTTACTCTCGACATTGCAGAGCTGAAGAATTAAGAGATGAAACCGGTCTTCCCATCAGCGGAAGATGACTTGAATACCGGATTTATATGAAATTCTGAATGAAAAGCCACGATGTTAATTGTGTCAGCCGGTAAATCGTTCCCTAACACCCCGCGATATAAGGTCCCCACACCCCCCCCCTCCTCCCACCCCCAATTTGCACTCAACGACAATCCCCAGGACACCAGGAGAGAGAGAAAGAGAGAGAGAGAGAGAGAGAGAGAGAAACTCCCCTTTCTTTTCCCGACAGCACCGGCGGGATCTTTGACGTCCGCCCGAACAGGGAGCTCGGACCCCCGCCCCACCCCCACCCCCACCCCAGTCCCGCTCCCCACACGAGGGCTCTCCCAGGTCTCGCACAGCGTCTGACTCACTCTGTCGCCCAATCTCGAATTACTCGCTGATCTGATTATTCCAAACTATTTTTGGGTCACCGGCCATCACGTGACCATTCATTCACTCACCCACCATACAATCACTCCCTCCCCCTCCTCCTGCTCTCTCTCCCACCCTCTCTCGCTCTCTCTCCATCTGCTCTCTCTCTCTCTCTCTCTTTCCCCCACTCTTCTCTCTACCCTCTCCATCTCGCTCACGCTCGCTCTCTCTCTCCTTCCTGCTCTCTCTCCATCTCTCTCGCACGCACTCTCTCTCTCTCTTTCTCTCTCTCTCTCTCTCTCTCTCTCTCCTGCTCACTCACGCTCTCTCCCCCCCCACCCCCCGCCCCCTCCTGCTCGCTTGCTCTTTCGTTTCCTATCTCGGTAATTCTCCCCCTAACACACACGCACGCAGGCACACACCGACACTCCCGCTCTCTCTCTCTCTCTCTCTTGCGGAGGATAGAAGGTGGGGGGGGGGGGGGGAGAGAGGCGGTGATTGAAAATCACCGAGAGTCACTGTGGGAGACAAATCTCATCACGAAACCAGCAATTTTCAGCTCCATTTGCTTCCCAATCAACATCTGAAAGCTTCCCCCTCCGTCCACCCCACCCCACCCCACCGCCCAATCATTCTGAGTCGGAGCAATTGTGTGTGTGGGGGAGAGGGGGAGGTGGAGGAGGGGAGGGGGAGAGGAGAGACTCTGAGCTCACAGTCCAGGCTGCCGTTCCACCGCAGCGCCGGGGGGAGAGAGAGAGAGGAGAGAGAGCGCAACATTGTCGGAGATGCCACCCTTTGGATGAGATGTTAAACACCCACCGCCACCCCTGTCTCTCCTGGCTGACAGTCACCCCCCGATAAAATCAGTCACGCACTTCATGGCTGTGTGCGGGGACATGGCTGCGCGCAAATCGGCTGCCTACAAAGCGCACAGTCACTACACTTTACGGCGAAATCCCGTAAAAAACACACGGAGACAATAGGAGCAGCTGCCACATCGAACCCCGCTCTAAAGGCTCCCTCTTTTCTCCAAGATCGCCGACAACAACAACTTGCACTGACACAGCCCCCCCCCCCCCCCTCCACCCCCACCCCTCGCAGGGGCTGGGTGCTGGGTGCCGGGTGCCGGGTGCTGGGCGCCGGGTGGGCCTCGGAATTGACACGGGTTCCTGACCCGAAGCTGAATCTCTGCGAAAATCTCTTTTACGAAAAACAAATGATAAAAAAAACGTACATAAAACCGAGCGACGAGGAGAGACCACCAATCAGAGTGTTTGCCCCGGAGCTGGTGACGCGCCTTCGCTCCGCGTTAGCCTCTCGCTCGCTCGCTCGCTCGCTCTCTCCGTGTACATCTCTCTCTCTCTCTCCCTCTTTCTTCCTGTCATTTAGGTCCACATCATCACGTAAGCAATGGCTGAGCGCACACTCACACACACATAGACACACTCACACACACACACACACACACGCACACACACTCGCACACAAACGCACACACACGCACACACTCACACACTCTCTCACACACACGCGCAGGAGCGAAAGGGCACACGACACACGCCGGCTAAACACCGCTACATGAACCAACCATAAATGATGTGCACCAACATGTACCCGATACCCGGGCACCAACACGTAACAGCACGCGATGCGCGCGGACTGATCTGTGCCGACACGAAACCCCCGCCCGCAATAACACGCACCAACGTGCGCGCGCTGACACGTGCCAACACGCACCAGCGCGTGTGGATATCCAATCCCACCGACCCGAGGACGACAAGAGCTCTGCGCGCGCCTGTGGCCGCTGTGTGGGCAGCCCCGAGCAGACAGAGACACAGACCTACCTGGGTGAGGTGAGGGGTGGGGTTGAAGCCACACAGGTTACACACCACCGTCCGGCACTGGGTGCAGCTGCTGAAGTTAGGGGCGTCCCGGGACCCCACGTTCAGGCTGGTTTTGCAGAGAGGGCAGGAGGTGGAGGCTGAGGCCGGGGCTGGGTCCGGGGGGGCCTTGGCTGGGGCTGGGGGGGCCTTGGCTGGGGCTGGGGGGCCTTGGCTGGGGCTGGGGGGCCTTGGCTGGGCTGGGGGGCCTTGGCTGGGGCTGGGGGGCCTTGGCTGGGGCTGGGGGGCCTTGGCTGGGGCTGGGGGGCCTTGGCTGGGATTGGGGGGTCCGCTTTCTCAGTGACCGAGGCTTTAGGCTGTTCCTTGAGCTTGTCCGGACCTGGTTTGGTGTCTTTAGCCGCCGCTGTTGTTGTCTGTGGGCCCTTCTTGACCGGCCCCGGGTCCTTCCCGGCCTGCCCTGTGTCTGCCGGTTTTGAGGCCGGTTGTTTAGGTGTCTCGGAGATCGTTGCTGTTTTCTTCGCCGCGGCCGCTGGTGGGGGCTGGGGGCCGGGGGGCTCCTTCGCTGCGGGCTGGGGGGCTGCGGGGGGAGCTGCCTTCCCCGCCGGGGGTGCAGGGGCTGTGGAAATCAAGGTGGAGGCCTGGCTGAACAGAGAGGCCCCGAAACCGAACAATTTGCCCGTCACCGACTCCTGGGGGGTGGAGGACTGCGGGGGGGCAGCCTGGGAGGCCCCCCCGAGGTTCAGGCTGAAGCGCCGGGGCTGCTCGGCGGGCTGGGGCGGGGGCTGGGCAGCTGTGGGCTTGGTTTGCGGCCCTCCCTTCGCCTCCACTTTCGTAGCCTGTGGTTTGGGGGTCTTGGGGCCTGGGCCCTTGGTTGCCGAGGCCTTGTCTGCGGGGGTCTGGCCTGGCATTTTCTGTTGAGGCCCATCTTTGACTACAGGGGCCCCGGTTTTTACCTGCTGGGCCGCTGGCTTCCCCCCGGCCTGTGTCTGCATTTGTGGTGTCCTAGAGTCCGGCTGAGTTTCCTTACTGTGTTCCGGTTCCTTCCGCAGCCCGGGCGGCTGGGCCTGGGGGCCCTGCGGGGGTTGCTTGGCCACCGGCCCCTGGGAAACGGGAGCCGTCTGCTCTGAGAGGCCTCTCACAGCCTGCGGCGGCTTCTCACTCTCCGGCTGCTGTGGCGCTTTAGTTGGATCGACTTTCTGAGCTGCTGCCTGAGAAGCCTGAGGCCTAGCTGTCGGCTGCTGAGTCTGAGGCCCAGTCGTGGGCTGTGGAGCCTGAGGTTGCTGAGGTTGAGGCCCAGTTGACGCCTGCTGAACCTGAGTCCCAGAAGGCGGCTGTTTGGGTTGAGGCCCGGTTGAAGGCTGCTCAACCTGAGGCCTATGACCCGCCTGTTTGGCCTTCGCTGGGGGAGAGCCAGACATGGATTGCTGCTTGGCCAATACTGGCTGCTTCTTCGGGGCTCCTTGTTGAGGCTGTGGGGAGGGCTTGGCTTGCTCGGGTCTCTGAGCCGGTTCCTTCTTCGGGGAGGCAGGCTGAGGGCCCGGTTTGGCTCCCAGGGGGGCGGTCGCTGGTGGCCCCTGAGCCGGCTTGCGGTCCTGGGGAGGAGGCTTGGGGCCCGAGGACGAGGTCATGGCCATCCCCTTGGCCCGCTGCACCTGACAGTTCAAACAAAGCCATTCTCTGACCTGAAAAAGCACAAAAAAAAGTATTAAGAACCACACAATGACAAATATGTGACGGTCTCCAGTCCCCGGGTCCTGAGCCGGGAGGGGCCGCAGTGTCCCAGGGCACTCACTGCTGATGGCAGCACAGCCCGGCCCGGCCCATCGGCAGGACCCGGAAGGGCCGACCAGTCACTGGGGGCCGGGAATCCTCCCCCTCAGCTCCTGGTAACCCCACAGCCAAAGACAGAGAGAGAGAGAGACTCCTTCACTTTTCGAACAGCGCCACGAGATCTTTAACGTCCACCTGAACAGACGCAGACGGGGAGTGAGGTTTAACATCTCCTCCGAAGGACGGCATCTCCGACAATGCGACACCCCCCCCCCCCAGCGCTGCACTGGAGCATCAGCTTAGACTGTACGATTTTAGTTAGTTAGACTCCAGCGGTTACGCACACTGTGGCTCCTACCAACCTGAGCGGAACAGCCTCTACTCCAGCGAGAGAGCACGCACACTTTGGGCCAGAGGAACTATTCGCCCACAAAATACACAGTCACTCCACCTTACAGTACATCTATCTTGCGAAGCACTTTGAGACATCTCAACGATGGGATAATAAGCCCTTAAAAAGAAATGTGGCCACTCGATCTACGTGGGACACTGCTGTGGGGATTGGCTGCCATGTTTCGCCCACAAAATATACAGTCAATTCACTTTGCTCTATACCAAGTGCAAGGATTATTGTTATTATTATTGTTATTATTATTATTATTATTAACTGAAGCCCTATGTGAGCGAAGCTCTCGGTTGGAGACTTAAGCAGCGTGACAGATAGCTGTCTAACTCAAATATACTGAAAACTGTTAATGTTTAACCAACTGGAGCCATTTTTGCTGCAACAAAGGAGGTCGGGAGATGGTTTGATGGAGACACGAGGAACTGGGGGCGAAAGAAAGGAACCGCTCCCATCAGCCACCACTGAGCTAACACACCTCACAGGGTTACGCTTCTGAAAGAGATACCGTGAGCATCAGCCATGGTGTCTGTGCTGGGGTTCGCGCCCCCACTGGAGCTCTCTACTCTCACCCCATTCCCTGCTCTCTCTCTCTCTCTCTCCCCATGGTGTCTGTGCTGGGGCTCGCTCCCCCACTGGAGCTCTCTACTCTAACCCCATTCCCTGCTCTCTCTCTCCCCCATCGTGTCTGTGCTGGGGCTCGCTCCCCCACTGGAGCTCTCTACTCTAACCCCATTCCCTACTCTCTCTCTCTCTCCCCCCATCGTGTCTGTGCTGGGGCTCGCTCCCCCACTGGAGCTCTCCACTCTAACCCCATTCCCTATCTCTCTCCCTCTCTCTCTCTCCCCCCATGGTGTCTGTGCTGGGGTTCGCTCCCCCACTGGAGCTCTCCACTCTAACCCCATTCCCTACTCTCTCTCCCTCTCTCTCTCTCCCCCCATCGTGGCTGTGCTGGAGCTCGCTCCCCCACTGGAGCTCTCTACTCTAACCCCATTCCCAGTGTCAGCCAGTTGCACATGGCAGCGTCCCCACAAACAGTCGTGGATCGAGTGACCAAATTATTATATTTTATTCTTTTTTCTGACTTGCGCAATTGTAAAAAAAAAATCGTAACATTTGTGATGGATTCGGAAGCAGTTTTTTCCCCCTTTATAGGGATCAAACAGGATTGTAGGATCATCCGGGGCATCCGTCCCACCTCAATGATGGGCGGTGTCCTATAGGGTATTGGTTAGGGCACTCGCCTCGCAATTCATTATTGTTAATAATACTGTAACGTGGTCCCTCGATCCACGGCTATTTGTGGGATGGGGGGGGGGGGGGCGACGCTGCTGTGCGCAACTGGCTGCCGCGTTTCGCCCACAAAACACACAGTCACTACAGTGTACAGCGTATCCTGTGAACGCTTTGAGACGTCTCGAAGACGTGATGAGACGCTGTGTCAAATGCGAGGAATATTATGGTTAGGATCATTATTATTAGGGTGGAATCGGGGGCCCGTTTTTGGGGTTATTGGCGACGCACAGAGGGTGTAGCATCCGATCACGTGGAACCAACACAAATCAAGAACGTCAACCCCCACTCCCACAGATCTGTTGGTCCGCTTCTCCTGTCCTTCCCCTCCTCCCACTCCCATTCCTACACACATCTCTCTCTTCCCCCCATCGGCCCCCCACCCACCCACACACACACACGCACACGTGCGCACAAACACACCATTGCTTCTCACCCCTGCGACACACACCAACCTACTTGCCTCTCCCCAATTTCCCCCCCTCCCACATATATGCATATCTCTCCCCCCCCCTCCTCCCCCCAGACACCTCTCCTGCTTTGATATACTCACACTTGTATCTTCGCCCCCCACCCTCCCACTCCGACCCGCATGCATCTCTCCCCGCACCACATAAACACACTTGCCTCCCCTTCCCACACACTCCCCCTCGTCCCCAAACACACACACCTCCCTCCCCATCAAACACCAAACCCACAACCGCCCTGTAATACACATCACACTGACTGCGGGACACAGTCCAGAGACAAACAGCACAAGCACAGGGTGGGGAGGGTGTGGGGGGGTGGGAGGGGGGGTGGGGGGGGTGGGGGGGGGGGGGGGGGGGAGGGGGGGGGAGCGTAAAACCACAACATTACAAATGACATTTTCATTAATGGACAATAAACCAGTCGTTCTCTCTCCTGTCTGGCCCTGTGCTCTCTGCACGTCACACTCTGACCAGCTAACGCCATGTTTAAGCTGCAATGTGGAGCTCTCTCTTTTACACACACACACACACAGTATATATAAATATATATATAGATAGAAATGTAGGAAAATGACCGTGTTTTATTCCAGGTCACACCCACCGAGTCACTGAGCGAGTGTCCAGCACAGCCTCTGAACCTTCATATAACAGCACAACCCTGTGTGAGAGATTTTAACCTCTCTCTTTCCCACCCCCCACCCATCTCCTTCTCTCTCTATCCCCTTTTCTCTCTTCCACCTTCTCTCTCTCTCTGCCCCCCCAACCCCCCCATCCTTCTCTCTCTCCCCCCCTCTGCTCTTCCCCATTCTATTCCCCTTCCAGTCTCTCCACAACACCCCCCCCCCCACTCTCTTCTCCATCCATCTCTCCCTCCCACATCTCTCTCTCCTCCCCATCTCTCTGCCCTCCCTCCCGCTTTCTACCCCCCATCTCTGCTCCTCTATCTCTTTCCCCCCCCCCCCCCTCCTGCCCTACATTGCATAATCGCCAGACAGTTAGCATTAAACGCCAGGCGGTTGGGGTCGGTTGAAGAAAAAAAGAAAGAAAAACACACTGACCTGTGCGATGTGGGGGTTGGGATGGGGGTGGGGGGAGGGGGTGGGGTGAGGCCAGGGATTGGGGAGTGGGGGAGCGAGAAAAGAGAGAGAGAGAGAGAGAGACACTGACCTGTGTGATGTGGGGGTTGGGGTTGAACCCACACTGGCTGCAGACGAGGGTTTGGCACTGGGTACACTGGCTGGCATTGGTTTTCTCGGGCTGGTCCAGGTGGTGGAGTTGGGTGGTGGTGCAGATGGGGCAAAGGCGGCTCTGTTTCTGGGGCCCGGGAGCTGTCTGTGGTGCTGAAGGTGGCTGGGCTTGGGGCTTTGCTTGGGCTAGGAGTTGGGGTTTGGGTTTGGGTTGGGCTTGGCTCTGGGGGTGAGGCTGGCCCCCTTTGCCCTGCAGCACAGAGCCAAGATGGGGCTGAGATGGAGATGGAGTTGGCCCGCCAGGAGCCTTGCTCGGAGGCGTCCCCTCCTCCTGTCTCCTGAACAGTTGCTGGGAGGCAGATTTCACCGGAGCTCGCCCGCCCTGGACACCTCTCTGCTTCTTGGTCGCCTCCTCCTTGGCATCGCTCTCGCTCTTGGAGTCGAAGAGATGGAATTTGTTGACCACAGAAGATACGGCGCTCAGAGGGTTCCCTTCGCTCAGAAAACTGGGCATCATATTGTCAGCCTTCTCTCTGACCCCTTCCCTCTGCTCCACCAAGGCTTCGTTTGCTCCCACTCCTTCTTCTGTTAATCCATCCTCACGTTTTCTTTTTGCTCACACGCGCACGCACACACACAGGGGCGAACTCGCCCCCTCTGCTAATCACCAGCCACCTTCTGTTTCCTAAAGGGTTCAGGGTAGAGAGAGACACACACACACACACAAATAGAGAGACACTGAGGTAGAGAGAAAGACGCACACGCACATAGATAGATGTAGAGAGATAGAGAGACACACACACACATGAACACAGATGCAGAAACACACACAGATACGAGAGAGACACACACACACACAGATAGAGACACACACACACAGATAGAGACACACACGCACACACATAGATAGAGAGACAGAGACACACACATACACAGAGAGAGAGAGACACACACACAGACAGATAGAGACACACACAGATAAACAGGGAGAGAGAGACACACACACACACACACACAGATAGATAGAGAGAGAGAGACACACAGACAGATAGAGAGGGGGAAGGGAAGGAGAGAGAAATAGGTTAAGACAAAAAAAATGAATTCATAGAAACGCGTCCATTAAAAACATCATAAACACCAAAACAAAATTCTAGTATTTTTCATTGCGATCTCCCCCTCCCCATCCCTCCCAGAACCGAATAACAACAACAGTGACATTAATCACATCAGTACACCCAGAGGGGGAGAGAGACAACAGAGGCTAATCGTAAGGTACATTTATTCTCTCTCCCCCCCACCACACACACACACAAAATAACACTCCCCACCAAATAAAACAGTCTAGACTCATCTATTCCGATTCCATCTCGCAATATAAATAGAATATCCCAACATAATAATCATATACAGTATATATTTATGTATAAAAGAGAGATGGGAGGGAGGGAGGGGGAGAGGGAGAGGGAGGGGGAGAGAGGATGGAATGGAGGGAATGGAAATAGCATAAAACACGATTTACAGAGGAAGAGGGGATAATAATCTGAAATAATAATCCTTGCATTTAAATCTCGAAAATAAAGCTTTTTTTAAAAAAAAAGCGAGACACACATACACAGAGATAGAGACACACACAGAGATACGTAGAGACAGAGAGAGACACACACAGACAGACATACACACAGATAGACAGACAGACAGATATATAGAGACACACACAGACAGACAGAGAGACACACACACAGATACAGACAGATATATAGAGACACACACAGAGACACACACAGATAGAGACACACACACAGAGACACACACAGATAGAGACACACACACACAGAGACACACACACACAGAGACACACACACACAGAGACACACACATAGAGAGAGACACACACACACAGACACACACACAGAGACACACACAGACACACACACAGACACACACACACACAGACACACACACACACACAGACACACACAAATAGACACACACAGAGACACAGATAGACACACACACACCGATAGACAGAGAGTATTGTGTAAACCACAATCAGACAGAGGGAGAGAGGCAGAGGGAGAGAGGCAGAGGGAGAGAGACAGAGGGAGAGAGGCAGAGGGAGAGACAGAGGGAGAGAGACAGAGGGAGAGAGGCAGAGGGAGAGAGACAGAGGGAGAGAGACAGAGGGAGAGAGACAGAGGGAGAGAGACAGAGGGAGAGGAGAGACAGAGGGAGAGACAGAGGGAGAGAGGCAGAGGGAGAGAGGCAGAGGGAGAGGAGAGACAGAGGGAGAGACAGAGGGAGAGAGGCAGAGGGAGAGGAGAGACAGAGGGAGAGGAGAGGCAGAGAGGAGGCGATCCTTACAATATCCATTCACAGGGGACAAAACGCTGCTTTTCTTCTTTCTTTCCTCTCCTCTTCGCTTATTTACTGATGTTCCACCTCTGGGGTGGGGTGGGGGTGGGGGGTATTAGTTGTTTTGCCCCTCTCCCCTTTTTTCCCCCCCTCTATCTCTCCCTCTCTACAGACCTGGGAGGGGAGGAAGAGAAAAGTGACAGGAGAGAGAGAGAGAGGGAGGAAGAGGGAGGAAGGAGGAATGGATGGAGAGATGGGAGAGAGCATCTGGACCAATAGAGAGGAGAGGAGAGGGATGGGGGAGGGAGGGATTGCTTATTAAACCCTTGTGCTGAACACACCCCAACCTCTCCTACAGGTTGGGTTGTTCCATCGCTGTCCAGAAACGTATTAAATACCCCCCCACCCCCCACCCCCCCAACTATAAACCCACACACACAGAGAGAGAGAAGGGGGAAATAAATGGGCTGTTATTCATGCTATGCAATTGAGCTGCTGTGTTAGAAACAGTGCAACGTTTCATTTACATTCGTTTGTCTTATTTGTGTTTTTTATTTTGTTTTATTTATTGTTTTTATTTATTTATCACCTGCTGTGATACTGACAAGAGGGTGAGATGGACAAGTGTGTGATTGCAGGCGACAGGCAAACTGCACACACACACACACACAACATATACACACACCCACATACACACAAATACACCAGACACACACATATACACACACACACACCCCAATACACCACACACAACATACACACAACCCGCATATACACACACACACACAAATACATCATATACATATATACAGTATATATGCACACATACACCATATATACACACACACCATATATGTACACACACACACACACACACACTATATACACACACACAAATGTATATATATAAGACTGGCTGATATCCCCCTATCTACAGATAAGGCGCTATATCAAATCCAAGGATTATTATTATTATTATTATATATTATATTATGTAAACCGGCTCCTACGCTCCGCCTGACCATATTCAGTGTGAAATTGCCTTTATTCCGCCTGAATGATCATTGCGGATCATGTCTGCATGTCTCTGTTTGTTTCTCTCTCTCTCTCTCTCTCTCTCTCTGCCTCCCAGTCCCTGTCAGAAAATCCCTGGTTAATCCCATCCTGAAGACGCATGCTCCGAGCCGGTAACCCCACCGGGGATCCATCCCCTGCTCAGACCCATTTAAAGCTACGACAAAAACCTTTCACCAGATTTCCCAAAGGAGTCTGAGACCTGCCCCGAATGCCCCCGAATTCCGCCTGCTCTTAGCCTGCCTTGTCATTACCTTTCAATAATAATAATAATAATAATAATAATAATAGTAATCCCGGCATTTCGCGACGTCTCAGAGCGCTTCACAGGACACGTTGTAAAGCGTAGTGACTGTGTGTTTTTGTGGGCGAAACGTGGCAGCCGATTGCGTCCCACAAACAGCCGTGGATTGAGTGACATCATTATTATTATTATTATTTTTTGGAGGGACTATTACCCCTGGAAAACCGTCCACCAGTCAACTAACAGCCAGGTTCCTGCTTGGCAGAGGCGTGAGGAGTGAGGAGACTCGACTAATTGAACCCAGGTCCTCTCGCTTGCGAGGCGGGGGCTCTAACTACTACGTAGTGTAGTCTTTTTTTTGAGGGGGTTGGGGGGTGGGTCCTAAAATATTAAACTGCAGCAACAATCTCCAAACCCACTCTTACCAAATTGTAAGATGTCTTTCCCTCCCCCTCCTTGTCCTTTCTCTCCCCCTCCCTCCTTGTCCTTACCCTCCCCCTTCTTGTCCTTTCTCTCCCCCTCCCTCCTTGTCCTTTCTCTCCCCCTCCCTTGTCCTTTCTCTCCCCCTCTCTTCTTGTCCTTTCTCTCCCCCTCCCTCCTTGTCCTTTCTCTCCCCCTCCTTGTCAAAGTTGCACAGCTTTCCACAGTTCAAAAACACGCAGTCACTACACTTGTCCATAATTCCCCGCGAAGCAAACGTTGTCGTTGACAGACCCTGTATCAAAGGCGAGGATTATTACTTGGTAGAACAACAACAACTTACACAGTAATGTCTCGAGTGTTGTTTAGAGATGCCCTTGGACTCCAAGGGTGGGGTGGGGTGGGTGGGGGGTGGGGGGTGGGGGAGTGAGAGTTGGCCATATGCGCAGACAAAGAGGTAGGTTTTGAGGTGGGATTTAATAATAATTATAATAATTATAATAATCCTCATCACGTCGGGATATACACTGTATATTTGAGGGCAAACACAGCAGCACAGCAACCGCCCAGAACAGCCCAAACGGGTGGCACCACCGACATAGACTATGTGACTCCAGGGACTGACTGTGTGAGCTCACAGTCCCTGACGTGGGGGCTTGAACCCTTAAGCTTCTGACCCAGACTGTTATGTAGGGCAAGGGACTCTGGATGGATGTAATCAAATGGAACTGAAGGGCTTCCTTCATCCAACCCTCTCTTGTGATCTCTTGTGAGCTTTGTAACCGAGCTCTCGCTATCACAGCCCTAAGGCCAGGTCTATTTTTGGCAGATGGGGATCGATCAAAACTAGTTTGGCACAAAGGCCAAGGGCAGAGCAGGGCACCTAATGTTTGGGCTGGTGTCTGGTCCAACCTTCTCATCTCAGTCAGCTGCCAAAAGGAGTTTCTCCCAGTGACTCACTGATGGCAGCACAGCACAGCCCGGCTCGGCCCATCGGCAGGACCTGGAAGGGCCAACCATCACTGGGGGCAGGGAATGCTCCCCCTCAGCTCCTGGTAACCCTGAAGCCAAAGCCTTAACTAACGGGGAGTCCTCGCTGGCCAAGCAGCAGGATAGCTTGGCCAGACAGCGCACTCTCTCAATGGCCGTGCTATGTGTGGGTTTAACTGGTTAGACTCCAGCAGTTACCCCAACCCACACTCTGGGCCCCCCCTAAGCCTTGACTCATGCCTAATACTCTCTGGAATTAGATAAACAGGATGCATCCTTCCAAGGGGAGAGAGAGAGAGAGAGAGAGAGAGAGCGCATTCCATCCCAACAATCTCTCTCTGGGATTGCCAGGTGTGGGTGGGATGTGGGGAATTCTCAGTTGGGTTTGGAGACTCTTAAGCAACGGTGACGGGTTTCCTTTGTGTCGGACACCCCCGGCTGACAACACCCAAACCCCCCCCCTCCCACCCACCTCCCAAAATAAATCCTGGCTAGTAATTCTCGAGCGAAATCGTTCATTCACCTCCCGGCTGTTTGTGGGGACGCCGCTGCGCACAAATTGGCTGCTGCGCAAGCCGACAAAACGCACAGTCACTACACTTCATAATGAAGTCCTAACGGAAGGCTCTGAGACGTTTCGACGACCTGACAATGCGTCAGAGGAAATGCGAGGATGATTGTTAATATGATTACTAATGGGACCCAACAAACAGTAAAATAATTCGAAGCCTGAGCAATAGAAGCTGACTGACTGTGTGTGGGCAGACCCCGGGGAGAGGGGGGAGAGGGTGGGGGAGAGTGACGTCGGTGACTGATTTTACACAGTGAATTATGGCTTTAGGATTCGAGCGCTTGAGTGAATATAAAACCAATTTGCTGCCTCCTTGCCCCTTCGTGGCATCGTTTCTAATAGAACATCTCGCAGCTTGTCTCTTAATTCTTTTGTAACCGCCCGCCTGCCGCCCCCCCCCACCCCCCCCAAAAAAAAATACTTTCCTTTAAAACCTTCAGCTGACGTTCTAACTCCAACTTACATCATAATAATAATGATAATCCTGGCATTTGATACAGCGCCTTGTCACGTTGTCGAGACGCCTCGAAGCGCTTCACAGGACATACTGTCAAGTGTAGTGACTGTGCATTTTGTGGGTGAAATGCGGCAGCCGATTGCGCACGGCAGCGTTCCCTCCCCCCCCCCCCCTCCGCAAACAGTCGTGAGGCGAGTGACCCATTTTATTTGGGGAATCGTTGACCAGGACCCAGAGATAGAGAGAGAGAGAGAAGCTCTCGTCTCTCAGGCCGGCAGAGAGAGAGAGAGAGAGAGAGAGAGCGCGCGTGTGTGTGTGTGTGTGTGTGTTTATGAATCTAAACTGCGAGTGAAACACAGTCAGGGTAACAGCGCGAGGGTGTAAATGAGTAATGAGACACTCGATCCACTCCGAGCTGCACGAGGCATCAGGTGAGGCTGTTGTCAGGTCGGGGACTGACAGGTTACTCCCGGTCAGCGCAGCGCAGCGCCGGCCGGGAGATGTGGAGACATCTTTGGAAACTCAAGACGTGAAAACCCATCACCTCCTCCGTCACCAAAGTCACGAGCGCATGGCTGACAGGCGTGAATGATTAATACCTCGTGTTCGCAGCCCGCCCAGCGCCCGAGTTATTGCTACGACCGTAAGGCAGTCAAACGCGCCCTCCAGGTGTGACGTTAGACTGAGGTCCCCACAGGTGCAGCTGGAAATTACCTTTCTATTGAGAAAAGAAAGGAGTTTCTCTCTCTCTCTCCCTCTCTCTCTCTCTCTCCCTGGTGTCCTGGCCGACAATCCCCCCCCCCCTCCGCTGCTCTTTGTGGGGACGTCGCTGGGCGCAAACTGACTGCCGTGCTCGCCCGCAAAACACACAGTCACTACACCTTACAGCGATTGTTAATCAGGGATATTTTGGCATTGTTATCGTTAGGATTACTTTTTTTTATTCCAAGGCATTTCAGGGTAAGGCGTAGTAACTGTGCGTTTTGAAGGTGAACGCAGCAGCCAATTTGTATACGGTAATATACCTCAAACAGTCATGAAGTGAGCGAGTGATTTTATTTGGAAGGATTGATGGTCAGGACATCAGGAAAGAGAAACTTAATGACTAACTGAGGAGGAGGACTTCATTAAGAGAATCGATAGCAATCAACATCTCTGTTCCTTCTAATGGGTGAAAGGGGCAGAAAGCCTTTCAGTTCCAACCGCTACGTCATCTTACATAGAGTTACAGCTTTATTCCCCTCTCCCTCACCCCTCCATTCCCCTCCCCCCCACCCCTCCATTCCCCTCCCCCGACCCTCCATTCCCCTACCCCCCGCCCCTCCATTCCCCTACCCCCCGCCCCTCTATTTCCCTACCCCCCGCCCCTCCATTCCCCT